AAGTTTGAGTTCCATATAAAGAATGACTATTGCTCTTATGGAAATTCATGAATAATGAATCAAGACTATGGAAGAAAATGCACGTGGAGATGGAGTTATGAAATGCAAAGTTCTGTAAAGAAGATCAACCAAGAAAGAGAAAATATTCTACTATCATAAAAGAAAAAGAATCCTCTACACAAGGATTCTTATGCTGGTACTCAATGAAGAATTACATATTCAAGAAAGGAAAGTGGAGACAATTAGGATCTGTCCAAGTACATGAAGTCAAACAAGGAAGGAAATCAATATTGCAAAGATGCCCATATCCATTTTCAAAGGAGTGCCAAGTCAACATACTATCCATATTCATACAAGTGCTGGAGCTGCAAATTATGGAAACAAATAAATGAGCAACGGTCAAATCCCTTGGGTTATGCAATAGCCATAACAAGTTGAGATGGCTATAAATATACAAGCTCGATGAAGGAAGAAAATACGCAACCTTCTATACAATTATCTATCCAACTACAAGTTCTTTATTCTACTCTTAACAAGCATTGTAATTCACTTTAGTAGATTTACTGTGTACCCAAAAGAGAGAAGAGAGACAAAAAAATATTGGAGAGACAGTGTGTCCTAGAGGTTGTGTCATTGTTCGTTTCTTTGGTGAGCGAGTAAAAACCAAAGGGTCGTTGTTGGTGAGCGAGTGAAAACCAACCCTGTCAACGTTGGTGATCACTGAAAATCACAAAGGTTGTACTCAATTCAATTTACAAGGAGCTCCAAAAGATAACACTCTTGCAACCCGAGAGGACTGGATTAGGATACCACATTGGTTCCGAACCAGTATAAAATTCCTGGTGTCATTTACTTTATCGCTCTCGTATTATATTCTTTTCCTTTACTGTTTATTGTGATTAACACTTGTTTAAATTGAAAGGACTAACAGTTCTGTGCAGGCTGTCTCCGCATAAGTCGACTAGGTCTGAAGAGTAGTCGACTAGAAATTTAAAAAAGGCTACAATTACCCCCCCTCTTGTACTTTCATTAATCACACTAGACAGTAAAGGAACAGAATATAATACGAGAGAGATAAAGTAAATGACACCAGGAATTTTATACTGGTTCGGAACCAATGTGGTATCCTAATCCAGTCCTCTTGGGTTGCAAGAGTGTTATCTTTTAGAGCTCTTTGTAAATTGTATTGAGTACAACCTTTGTGATTTTCAGCGATCACCACCAACGCCGACAGGGTTGGTTTTCACTAGCTCACCAACAACGACCCTTTGGTTTTTACTCGCTCACCAAAGAAACGAACAATAACACAACCTCTAGGACACACTGCCTCTCCAATATTTTTCTGTCTCTCTTCTCTCTTTTGGGTACACAGTAAATTTACTAAAGTGAATTACAATGCTTGTTAAGAGTAGAATAAAGAACTTGTAGTTAGATAGACAATTGTATAGAAGGCTGCGTACTTTCTTCCTTCATAGAGCTCGTATATTTATACCCCTTTCAACTTGTTCTGGCAATTGCTTAATCCAAGGGAATTTTGAAGATTGGAATTGGATTTTTGAAGATTATTCCAATCTTCCTTGTAGCTGTTAGATGATTGCTTCCTTGAATCTTGGGGTAATAACTTCTTTCAGATCTCTAGACCGTTGCTTGGATATCTCCTGCCAATGTAAGCTTTCCTTTTGAGATGGACCATTTTAATTAAGGATCTTTTGCATTCTTTGGAATACCTTAAATGCCTCTTGATTGCTGCTCCATTGTACTTCCTTAATTAGCAAAGACGCGATCCATTACTACCTTCACTTCCTTGTGCAATATTTTTTATATTCAATAAGCCTTCTTTTCATCCTCTGTGATTCTCTTCTTTGTTCTTGGAGATATAATTTCTTACTATAATATTGTAGTAAGAATATTCCATACGCAGTAGATCTTGTCCAAAACTTTAGGAAGCATTCTTCCATAATTCTCCAATGTTCCTTTAGTAGGTCTTGAAAAATAATCTCTTTCCATAAAATAGATTGTACTACATCCATAATATATTTTCTTTCCATAGAAAATATATTCTTACTTGTCCTTGTAGTATCTTTTCCATATAGTATCTTCTTTCCACAAAATAATAGATCTTCTCCATGATTTTAGCAACTTTCCTTTCAAGTTGTTGAAAAGCTTTCCATCCATAATTTTCATAGATTCTTCTTCTGATATTGTAGTAAGCCATTCAATATTTGAAATTTCACTTTCAAATATTATTCCTTCTAGATTAAATCTCTGAAAATAATCTTCCTTGATGAATTCTTCACATGATATTCTCTTTCCCATATTTGTTTGGATCTTTACTAGCATTTTCTTTCCTGTACAAGAATAAGATTACCACAAGTAAATATTCTTTGATTAATAATTATTTGGGTTTGTTATCATCAAAATACGTGAAACCTTGAAGCTAACACATACATGATACATTTTTGATACATGTGTCGTAGAAGAATCTTTTAAATTCGATTTTAACTACGAATTTTGATACCAAACGAGTCCAAATCACCTCCAATCTTGCTCAAATTTTGTATATTGCCTCATCTATATGTTTTCAACAAATTCCAACCATACCTATTTAAAAAAAAAATCCTTTTTTGCTCTATTTTTTAAATATTTATATCATTGATAATGAACTTTGACTCCAAACTAGTCTAACTCACCTTCAAACTTCATCAAATTTTGTATATTGCCTCATCTATGTGTTTTCAATGAATTGCAAGAATACCCATTGAAAAAATCTCTTTTTACCTATGTTTTTTGAATGTTGTTAATCATTGATAATTTTTGGTAGCATGACTAAAATCGCTAGTTGTCGGTAAATAGTGTCTTTTTTTGGTATATTGTAGTAAGATATATGTAGAAATGACACCAGGTAGCCACTCTAAAGGGCTGCTATTTAGGAATTAACAGTGCATCCTGAATTTCAGTTTTTCAGTTCAAATTTTCAGGACAAAAATGTTCTGAATCGTCCGGAAGTTAAGATTTTCAGTTTAAAAATTCAGGAGAAAATAAGTAGTGGTTAATCTCTAAACAGCATCCCTAATAATGGTTATATGTGCACTTGCCCCAAGATATGATTGCTTGTTGTTTATAATGATGTTCTTTTCTTTAGTTTCTTTTTTCCCCGTATAAAGGAGGAGGATTGTGATAAACTGACAGGAAGTGTAAAATTAGACAATTCATGATAAATCTCATTTGAGCCTATGCAAATTTCCAAATAGGGTTCAACTTATACAATGAAGGTGCATGATAAACGGGCAAAAATGCATATTTTTCGGTGTACTTTCATCTCATAACTTGTGTGATTACACTAGGTTACATGATTGTAGTGAATTATGCTCATTACGTGCATTCTTAATGTGATCAAAAGAAGTTGATTCGAGACCAAAAGACAAAATAAGGACTTTGCTCGTTCACTCTCGCGTGCACACGAGAGAGTGAACGAGCTACCTGAGGAAAAGCTTGAGAAAAAACAGCGGATTATGGTAAAAAGGCATGGAAGTGCACGAGAGACCTAGAAGGAAAGAAAAAGAGAAGAACTTCGCTCGTCCACTCTCGCGTGTGCACGGGAAAGTGAAGGAACTATCCTAAAAAGGTTATTTCGAAGTGGGCTTGTATTATTTTGCCCCCATGCTAACCCTATCCCATATAAATAGTCTTTAAGCTCACTTTTAAGAGGAAAGGGACGTTTTTAGAGAGGATTATCAACCGAAGGAGGCAAGAACACAGTAGGAGCAGGGCGGAGAATTCTTCTACGAGTTTTTCACTTCCTTCTTCCTATTTTCATTATTGGTTATGAATTCTGGTATTGTAGTTGTGCATACTATTATGAATAACTAATTCGTTATCTAGGGTTTTGATGGAACCTTTTGTAGGATGAATTCTTATTATGTTTTTAAATAATTGAGCCGTTGGATTTCTCTGTTTGCTCAACTACGTATTTATTGTTGTTGATTGAATGACCATAAATTAACTGTGGCTATTTAGTGTGTATATTGCTCGAGAGAGAGAGTACGCATTTAGGTAGTTGTTGAACAACATCACTCCTAACGTATGTGAGAGGTCAATACGGAGGGTTTAAAGGTGGGGTTAGGGATAACAAAACCTTGGTGCCATCATTGTGAGCGGTGAATTAGTGCCAGCTAGCATAGTTCGAGAGAATATATCTAGTAAATTATGGTAGTTGCTCGAGAGAGAGAGAGCTACGACACCCAAAGTACTCACGGTCGGTAGAGAATACGTAGGCGAAATTACAGAAGACGTAGCGGGAAGGATTCCGACAATTGGGGAAATCATAACTCTAGACCTCCTTAGTCTTGTCTAAAATTTCATCCTTGTTAGTTGATAATTTTACTGCTTTATAATAGTTGTTAGTTAATTAGTTAGAAACAAACATTATAATCTTTATAACCAGGAAATTGTTTGGACTTGTGTTTCTTAGCAATATTGAACAATTGTAGCTAAGCCTTAGTTCTCTGTGGGATTCGACTCCGGACTTGTTGACCGGATTATATTTACAGCGACCGCTTATCCTTTTTAGAACTAGAGTTGTGCGTGATCAGTTTACAAACTCGACTATATACAATGGTCGACTATGCTAGGGTGGGAGCTAATGTGTATGTTAAAATTCTGACTCCGTCTCTAAATTTTGCCACTGGAAAAGAGGCAAAGGACCATGCATGACCGCATGGGTAAAGGCAGCTTATGCACAAATCACACAAGAATGTGTCCATAATTAGCCTATAAACAACCATGTCAATTTGAGAAGAATTTCAAGGTCACCAAAGTTTACTTGTCATTTTTTCCAAAATTGGAATGACTAAAGTTCCTTTTAAATATATTAATTAAAAAAGAAAAGAGAGGAGATCCAGCTGCAAGGGTTTCAGTATAATAACATGTAAACAATCAGACTTTTATCCACCAACAAATATCATTTTCAACTCTTGAGAGTAACCGAATGACAGAAGTAGTATTTTGCATTGTTTTATTTGATTCAACATCATCAAAATACATATTTTATTACTTGAATAGGAAAGACTCATATCTAGTTGGCCCACAAATATCTTTGTCTAAATCCCTTTCTTGCAAATTGGGTCATTTTGGTGTGCACACTTCTTTCACACAATTTACACTAACAATATATGTAGCTTAAGCAACTACAATTACAACAATAACAGATATGCCTCAACCCCAAGCAAGTTGGAGTCGACTGTATGAATGCCCACTACTTGAGCAATTACAAGTAGAGTGAGTACTTTACAAAGTGCACAAAGTAGGTAATATTATGCGTTCTCGGTTCAATTATTCGTTGATAACACATGAAATGAGCCAAAAAGCAATTCTTTGGATAAGCATATTAGATGCTCCTATAGAAAGTCTGGTCCTGAAAAACATTGTGCATCACCAGTCATTGTTCATCACAAACAAACCTCACTAGGTAGTCTACGAATTCCGTAGCAGTAAAATCATCCTCTGCAGAAGTTGAAGCTCTGATCAACAGCAGAAACTTAGTCAAGGAAGAATCATGTTCATAAACTTTCTCTTGGCAAATGCTAACCACCATTTGTTAGGAGTTCCATTATGTCGATAAGCAACACTTAATAATCTCCCACTAGTTTCCTCCCTTATTTGCCTCAGATAATTCCTGAATAGTTCTGAGTTCAAATGTGACAAGCCAAACAAAAAGATTAGAAACCATCAGTCTAAGAGCCATACAAATACAATGGAAAAGAAGAAAAAGAACAAGATCACAAAAAGAGTAAATGTTGTCTATATTTGAGGTATACAGTTTTCTGAGGAGATAGAACAAACGCAAAATGCCATCTTGATGCCTATTAAAGCAAAAGAGGAACAAAAGTAAGAGACATTATAACAAGAACAATCATTTTGGAAGTCAGTTGCCAAACATTGCAAAAGTGTCACCAACAGAGGTGCTACAACATTTCAATATACCCTAACAGGAGAAAAAGAATAGGAAATTCATGATAAAGGATGTGCCTAATAATTCCACTATACAATCAAACTATATGCTTCGAAACAGGCGTGACAGCATAAATGGGCAATATAGCACATCAACTTTCACATAGAAAGTAAAATAAAGCGGTTTGCAGTTATTCTAACAAGAATTTTACAGTTACATTAAGCTGAAAAGAGTAAGGGAAAAAAGGAAAGAAAAAAGGTATATGAGAAAAAGAAAAAAAATTGCCATTTACTTACTAAACCCGATCAACCTGTCAACTTCAGAGACCCTAAGCTGGAAAGACACAGCAACTCTTTCCTCCCATCAGATTCCTCCTCCAAAATAACATTAGTTCGTATACTTTTGGAACAATTTAGGGGCATAGGAGGAGATTGAAAAGCTAGACATAGATGCATAGAACGACCCAAGCGATCTCCAAATTGTTAGCAACAATTTTCTGACAGACTGCTAATGATCAGCTCATAAGATGACAACTATTCACTGTCTCCTATGATCACAATGGTTATTGGCAAGTAAATTTAAGTCAGGTGTTCTTTCTCTTTTTCAAAAAAAGCCATTGAGGGGCTATGAGTTGCCACTAACACCCATACTTAGGTTCTAATTCCGCCGAAGTACTTTTTCAAGGAGCGCCATAGTTGACAGGGTTTGGAGCCAATACTACTACACAGAGTAGTGTATTGGTAGTCCAATTTTTCTTTTATAACAGAATACAATTTTATTAGAACAACACCCAAGCGGGACTTGACCTGTATACAAAGTGTAAAAGAACTCAAGGTATTTAACTCCTTTAATCCAACTTCTACTAAATTAGTCGTGGAACCATCCTAGCATGGAAAACAGAGATACAAGCCCATAACTCTCAATTAGTGGTTGTACAAAGACAAACAAACCTTCCATCAAGACCAGAATGGAACCTTCTGTTAAAATTAGAGAGTTCAGATAGGAGGAATTAAAATGGTTTAGGAGAAGATTGACAGGAGAGAAAAAGACAAGGTTTGCTGTGTGGTTTCAGATTGGAGGCTGCACAGGAAAGAGGACAATGGACTAAAATAAAGGTTGCATTTTTGACAGGTCTGGATATCCAATGCTCGGGAAAATTGATAAAGCACATCAAACTCACAGAGATAATGGAGTTCCCAAAAGTCTTTTGTTTTGCTCTTTCCTTTTTCCGAAATTGACACCAGGAAGTGTTTTCGCTCCATCAACCGACATTGACTTATTAAGAAAGAGATTGCTGATCCCAAGTTTTATTACCCTATTAAGTGTTAAGAAAGTCTTCTAGCTCGTATAATCTTTCTCCACTTAGAATCAGATGCAATGTTGTAAAAAGTTAGGATTCAAGCATTCAAATGTAGTGTAATTGGAAATTCCAGAAGAATTAAGTTGGCAAAATTAGACTTGGATATAATAACTGAAAAACTATAAGCTATGAACTTGTTTGTTTTCATTTTAAAACCTCAAAAGACAAAATGGAAGCAAAATAGCGAACTCAAAATCAACCGAAATCATGTATTGGTGGTTTATTCACATAGAAAAAAGAGGGTTTCTTAGTTCATCAAACAGTCTACCTGCTTCTTTCTTAGATTGGGCAGCAGTAAATAAGCCCGGGAAGGGAAAACCTGACTCTCCAGGTACAGGAACTGTTTCCAAACCTAGGTTGATGATAGCCTTGGTTCCTTCAGCTAAAGTTCTGCAGCCTTCAAGTCTCTTTAGAGCGATGTTGATATACAATGTCAAATAGATAAGTAGCTTGTCAGATGAGCTTTTAATATCAAAGTTTTTGAAGAAGACATTTGCTCGGAAGAATGTGATTGCTTCATCGACAATATCAGTTGTATCTGCTCAAAAATAAGATAAGCATCAAACCGTAAGAATGTATAGACATTGCCATTGGAAAGATAAGACTCACGACTAACCTTGTTCTGAAACTGGAGCAGGTCCCTTTATATGGCTTTTCAGAGGTAATAAAGGGCATCCACAAGCTTTACTAACTCCTTCCTCATCAACAAAACTGGAGTGATAAACCTGCAATTGAATCAAGATCAGGTTTCAGCATTAAATGGGGCTGACTGTTTGGGGTTAAGACACCCTGTAAAATAAAAAGAATAGAGTGGATTAAATGCAAAGGAGATATACATTGAAGTTGAACACAGAAAATTCATAGTGAACACAAATAGAGAGCTCATATGGCCCCGGATATCACAGAGCATATTACAGAAGATCACGAACGGTCAAAAGGAACGTCTACCCAAAATTGATAAAAATCTTCGTGAGGTTGTAATCCTCTGTGTTTGGATTAAACGTTGGAATTACTATCAAGCTTGAATCTTGACGGTAATTCTTTCTTTTATAAATCCTTATATCTTTGGTTCTTTCTTGTCGTTCTTCGGGGATGATTGATTTCATATATCATCTATTACCATAGACGTTCAGAGCCTGGGATTCTTCCTGTTCTTCAATTCCCGTTTGGACTTTCTATCATGTTATTTTCATTACACACTTAATTAGGTATTATTCCACTTTTGTGTATCTGAATCGTATCAGGTCCACTGCCTCTAAATCGCTTATCCTGTTGTTTACCACCACTTGACTATACACTTTTGAAGGTAGTACAAATCAAAGAAAACACCGCCAATCGATCCCGCGTAGTCGATCAGTAACAGATCCTCATTGCCAAGATATGGTGGAAACATGATAATACTATTTGTCAATTATTTATTTGTTTCTTTCTCTTTGAAACCAAAGTCTACATAATGAATAACAGTGGAATGAAAAACATATGAAATGTAAGCCACTTAGCTCACTTAGTGCACCATACCATGAAAAAGGTGCAAGTTTAACTACCAAAGTAAAAGAGAACAGTGATTTTCATCATGCATGGCCTTAATCACACTATCAACTGTCAAAGAGATAATTGTCGTCAATGTAATGTAGATATTTAAAACAAAGCTTGCTTCCATACCATATTCCTTGCTGGAATTCTTGTTTAGTACCAGCAGAGGGGAATTTACACTCTCTAGTCAAAGAGGCAAATAAACCAATCTGCAGATGCACACATCAAGCATCAGATATGAACTAATAATTGAAATACTACTAACACGACTCCTAAATTAAAAGGATGTGAATTGAAGATTCACTTCAACTACTAACATGACTCCTAAATGAAGAGGATGTGAATTGAAAATTCACGTCACCTAGATCAGATAACTGCTCCATCGTTCCAATTTATGTGGCAAAGTTTGACTCGACATGGAGTGGAAGGGAAAAAGAAAACTTTTGAAACTCGTAGCGTTAAACCTGCCATGACATTACTATGGCTATAAAAGCATGCCATTAGAAGGAAAAAAAACGACATCTAAAGTTAATTATTTCCTAATATAGAAAGTACCAGTGGTCAAGGGTATTCAAAATATCTTAAGCATCACATATGCCTCTCGTTTGCTTACATTTGCACCCAAGAGTGTGGGGCCTAGTGGTCAATGAAGTGGCTTGAGAACCATGAGGTCTCATGTGCTATCACACCCCTTTTTTACCTCATTAAGAAGATAAAAGTATTTTTGAGAGCAAAAGAGTTTTCAGTTGTGAAAGTGACCAAATATTGTATTCAAAGGGATTTCTCCAGAGTCGCCACTTGACATTAGATTTCGGTGTGCCAAGTCACCATTTAAATATATCCGCTAAAAAACACACTTGAGTCCAAAACTAGTATGCAAGCAGAAAATTCTGGGTAAGGAGGTTCATGTGACTCGGGGAGAAGGTATTCCCCAAGTCCCACAAAAATAATGATTGCATATTTGATCAAGTTAGCTTTAAAGAATACTCGAATTGAGACCACGCAAACAAAATTACACAAAATAAAAGGCTTCAAGATTGTCCCCACCTAATAAAAGAAAGAAAAAGAATAGAATAAATCTAAACTATCCTACACAACACTTCCTTGAAGTTGCTCGTCCTTGGCCTGCAAAAATAATTAACTATGGGACAACCTTTCACCTTATCCAATTCAAACATGCATCACGTCCTAGATTTGCCTACCCATGTGTGACGGCCTAGTACATGCTCCAAGTGATTTTAAACAATTAAAGTAACGCAATAAAATATGTTAAACCCAATTTTACTTTCATTTAGTATCCAGCACCTCATGACTTATGTCAAACGCTTCGTTCTTCTCTTTTAAAAACTTTCAAACCTATCCAACTACATGTTCGATCCAGTAATGTAAGGAACGAACAACTTAGCAGATAACGAACTATGGAAACGCAGCAAACGTGAGTAATTAAACCCAAATAACAAGGAAAAATAAAACAAACATGATGTGGCATATATTCCAACTCTTAACAGCATGTATTCCACTCAAATCTCCATTCAAGAAATCAGATTTGCAAAACTATTCAATATACGTACTAGTTCAACTAACGAATCACAATCAACATAATAGCTACAAAGATCAACCAAAGCAAGATTTGAAATATAATTAGAACAGAAACTACTTACATTTAAAAGATCAAGTTAAGAATGGACCTTAGAGTAGCAAAATCGGATTTCCTTCGATGCTTTAAAAATATACATGGACCTCTAAGCAAAAACCGAACAGATCTGAGAGCCGCTGATTGAAATACGAACAAAATTAACACAGAGGAACCACCGACCAGAAAACAAAGGTACGACCAGACAACCTCGAATGGGAAACCCCACTGACTCAATTGTTTCTGCTCAAATCGGAGCGACTGAATCTCAAACTCAACGAGTTCTGACTCAACTGATAGAACCCTTTTCCAACTGGAGAAGTTTTGTTACTCGTGTTTTGACTCATTCTATCCGTATCTTTTTCGTGCTAGCTACGAGAGAATATATGAAATAAACATAGTTCAGCAAATCATCAATGTTGCATAGAAACAGGAATGCTAAACTGATCATTCACACAACTTCAACTATAATGGCACTCTATCTTTTTTCGTTACACGTCAAAAAGTCATTAGTCACCACAAGAACACGAAATTAACACCAGCATTTCCGATTTTAGTTTTGTCCATTAAATTCCATAATCAAACCCCCAGTTTTCAAGAGGATTAACTTTTAACCTACTGAATTCTAAGATCAATTACACAGTTTCAAGCATTTTGAAAAAAAAAAAAAAAGAAGTTGTAATCACAGCTGTTATTAACAAGTATCATCGCACATTCAACAATTCCCACAACAACAGTAAAAAACGCAATTAATTAAACGTGAAATTATGATCATAGCAAAGGAGGTAAAAAAAATGCAACATTGAAAAATAAAGAAAAAAGAGCTTCGAGGGCATAATCGTTATTTTACTCACAGATTTGGGAGAAGAGAGAGGTAATTTCACCGGGCGAAATACTGAAAGCTTTTGCGATCGAAAGGAAGGGGTTAAGTTTTCTGGTGAAGAAGAAGAGAAGTAATGAGAATCAAAAGAATTGGCTATAATTGCAAATTGGTAATGGTAGTTGGAGACGGGCTTAGCGATAGCAGCTATTTTTTAAAATAGCATGTGCTAGCTAGCTTTTTGACTAGTATTTGAAAAATAGCCAATATTTGCAAAATAAATGAGAAATAGCCACTATTTAATGTAGAGATAAAACCTGAATCAAAATATCATTAATTCAAGCTAATGCGCATAAAACTCTAGCATATTATATTTACGAATTCCAATAGATTATGCTGGAATTTCATTTGTCAAGGGGCACCCACCTGGTGTCAAGTGGGTTCACTTGAACCCGCTTCGTCGAAAAATTATACTGTGTATATTGATAAATTATATTTAAAAGAGTAAAATTACAGTACAAAATATAATTTGAACCCACTTTAACATAGACAGTCCATTATCGAAGTGGTCGAGCGGGTTCAAAATTTGCGAGGGGTGCTATGATCGAATCCCGTTTGGGGGGTTTACCAATTAATTCTTTTAATCTGTGCTTGGACTGGAGTTGTGTGCCACGTAAAGCTAAGACATTCTTTATCTCAAATTAAACATCATCTTGCCCTTCAAATTTAGTCCTTTGTAATTTTACTATTACACTTTACTTCTTTTTCTGTTCTCTTTTACCTGCAAATAACAACTTCCTATTAATAATAAGGAAAACTTTAGAATTAATTAAATATCTTAGAGTTAATAAGTGTTTGTTAAATTAGAATTTTTGATGTAAAAATTGTTAAATTAAATAGATATTTCTTAAAATAGAGATAGATAATCTTTTTTGACCTTCATAAAATATTTTTAGGTTTATTAAAATTATAGAGTGCCAACTTTAAAGTGACTTCATTTTGAGATTGTATTAAGAACAAAAAAGGTTAATAAAATGATCAAACCCTACTTGTCATACCCAATATCACTTATACTATTAGACACGTTCATTTTTTACCGAACCCGCTTGCGTAAAATCCTGATTCCGCCACTGATTGCAACCTTGCATCTATTTGTAATGCACTTCGTATGTACAGAGTTGGCGGAGAGAGAAATAGAAATTAAAATTTAAAAGCTCGAAAGAGGTTCAAACTTCATACACAAAAAAATATTCTTCATTTTCCATCAAAACATACGTCACATTAGTAAAGCAAAAGAGTCACGAGTTTTATGTACAAGTTGTGGGCAAATATTCATCCCATGTTGTAAAATCCTTGAAAACTAGTTAGAAGGTGATTACACTTATTTTTGTGTTTAATTTCTTCTAATAAAAGGAGAACACGTTTGTACCTTCCATATACTATCATTACCAACTCTTTCGCATCTGGTAAGATGTAAATTTTAACGAACGATAATTTTTAATGCCTCCTAAATGCGATAGGTTTATATTCTTTGAGCCTCAATTTTTTCGGAGTATTGCTTTTTGGTTAATTACTAAAAAAAATAATATTGAAACTTTATCTTTAATGGATACTCTTCCAACTTATCATGGTATAATTATGATTCTTGTTATGAATAGAATTCTATTTGAAGTGAATATCTATCTTGTAGAGAGTTTTACTTTGTGACTAAGTCATTTTTCCCCTATGAATAGAGGGGTCTTACCCCTATTGTAAATCACCCCAAAATTCAATAAGAATTCCATCTCTCTTTTCTCTGCAATTTGTTCTTCTACTTTTATTGTTTCATTACACGTTATCAACACGATTCTACCGTCTCAAGAAGATTAAGACCATTGGAAGCAAACTTGGATCAAAGTTCAATTATAAAAATATTTGTTTAGTTGATTCATGTACAACACATACAATATTCAAAGAGAAGAAATATTTCTCTCATTTAAGTATGTGTAAGGCAGATGTTACTACAATATCTGGTAGTAGTAAATTAATTAAAGGCTCTGGAAGAGCTACTATAACTCTGCCTAAGAGAACAATACTTATCATAGAGAATGCAATGTTCTCCTCCAAGTCCAAGAGGAACTTGTTGAGTTTTAAAGATAACCGTCGAAATGGATATCATATTGAGACAATAGATGAGAATAATCTTGAATATCTCATCATTACCAAGAATGTCTCTGGCCAAAAGAGGGTTATTGAGAAGTTCTCATCTTTATCTTGTGGCCTGTATTGGACAAGAATTAATGCAATTGAGGCACATTATACTGTAAACCAAAAGGTTACTGATTCCAATACTTTTGTACTTTGGCATGATCGATTGGGACACCCTGGATCAATTATGATGAGACGAATTATAGAAAACTCAAATGGGCATACATTAAAGAATTCTAAGATTCTTTTAAATAATGAATTTTCTTGCACTTCTTGTTATCAAGGCAAGTTAATTATAAGACCATCACCAACAAAGGTTGGGATTGAGTCCCCTGCGTTTTTAGAACGTATACAAGGGGACATTTGTAGACCTATTCACCCACCTAGTGGGTCGTTTAGATATTTCATGGTCTTAATAGATGCATCTTCTAGATGGTCTCATGTGTGCCTATGGTCATCACGCAACCTCGCGTTTGCAAAATTAATGGCACAAATAATTCAATTACGGGCACAATTCCCCGATAATCCAATTAAGTCTATTAGACTTGATAATGCTGCTAAGTTTTCATCCCAAGCATTTAATGATTATTGCTTATCAATTGGGATAAAAGTGGAACATCCTGTAGCTCATGTTCACACTCAAAATGGTCTTGCAGAGTCTTTAATTAAACGTCTGAAATTGATAGCAAGACCGTTACTCATGAAAATGAGGCTGCCCACTTCTGTTTGGGGGCACGCCATTTTGCATGCAGCAATGCTAGTTCGTCTCAGACCGATAAATTATCATAAATATTCCCCGTTGCAATTAGTTTTGGGTCATGAACCTAATATATCCCATTTAAGAATTTTTGGATGCGCAGTATATGTGCCTGTAGCACCGCCATATCGCACCAAAATGGGTCCCCAAAGAAGGTTAGGAATATATGTTGGGTTTGAATCGCCCTCTATTATTCGCTACCTCGAAACATTAACGGGAGATTTGTTTACTGCACGATTTGCAGACTGTCGATTCGATAAGACACTTTTTCCAAAATTAGGGGGAGAAGTTGGTGAAACCAAACGGGAAATTTTGTGGAAAAATCTATCATTATCTCATCTTGATCCACGTGCCTCTATTTGTGAAAAAGAGGTGCAAAAGATTATCCATTTACGGAGAATAGCAAATCAAATGCCAGGCGCATTTACGGATTTGAAAAGGATAACAAAATCACATATCCCGGCAGAGAATGTTCCAATCCGTATTGATGTCCCTGTTGGACAATCTTCTAGTGTCATAGCTAATGAGTCAAAAGCACGCCTAAAACATGGCAGACCATTAGGTTCCAAAGATCGAAATCCTAGAAAAAGGAAAATAAATGATCAAAATGACACTACGAAAGAATCTTATGAAGAAATCTATGATTTAATAAATTCTGAGATTCATGAGGAATCCACTGAGCCCGAGACTCAAGAAAATAAGGAACTATCAATAAATCCAATCGATATTGAGACAAATTTGAATAGAGTGGATATAGTGGTGGATTATGTCTTTGCATACAACGTTGCATCTAGCATTATGCAAGAAAGTGAGGATCTTGAACCTCAATCTGTTGGAGAATGTCAACAAAGACGTGATTGGCCAAAATGGCAAGAAGCAATCCAATCAGAGTTGAATTCACTTGCAAAACGTAAAGTTTTTGGGTCTGTAGTCCAAACACCTAATGATGTTAAGCCTGTTGGCTATAAATGGGTCTTTGTACGCAAGAGGAATGAGAAAAATGAGGTACAAAGATATAAGGCACGCCTTGTTGCACAAGGATTTTCACAAAGGCCTGGTGTCGATTATGAAGAGACATATTCACCCGTTATGGATGCTATAACGTTCCGTTATCTCATTAGTTTTGCTGTCCATGAAAAGCTTGACATGCATTTAATGGATGTGGTTACTGCCTACCTTTATGGCTCACTTGATAATGAGATATACATGAAAATTCCCGATGGATTTAAAATGCCAAACGCACATAATTCAAAGTCCCGGGAAATGTTTTCAATCAAATTGCAAAGATCCTTGTATGGTCTAAAGCAATCAGGACGAATGTGTTATAATCGTCTTAGTGAGTATTTATTAAAGGAAGACTATATAAATGATGCCATTTGCCCATGTGTTTTTATAAAGAAAACAACATCGGAATTTATTGTACTTGCCGTATATGTTGATGACATAAACCTTATTGGAACTCCTATAGAACTCCAAAAGGCAATTGATTATTTAAAGAAGGAATTCGAGATGAAAGATCTCGGAAAGACAAAATTATGTCTTGGTTTGAAAATTGAACATTTGGCAAACGGAATATTTATTCATCAATCTACCTACATAGAAGGTATTGAAACGGTTTTACATGGATGGAACACATCCATTAAGTACTCCGATGGTTGTTCGATCACTTGATGTGAATATGGATCTATTCCGACCTCAAGAAGAGAATGAAGAGCTACTTGGTCCTGAAGTACCATATCTTAGTGCAATTGGTGCACTAATGTATCTTGCTAACACTACAAGGCCTGACATAACTTTTTCAGTTAATGTCTTAGCAAGATATAGCTCTGCTCCTACAAGGAGACATTGGAATGGAATCAAACACATATTACGGTATCTAAAAGGAACTACTGATATGGGCTTATTTTATGGCAATAATTGCAGTCCTGATCTTGTTGGTTATGCCGATGCTGGGTATTTATCCGATCCACACAAGGCTCGATCTCAAACAGGTTATGTGTTTACCTGTGGAGGCACTGCCATATCTTGGCGATCGACTAAGCAATCAATTGTGGCTACTTCATCTAATCATGCTGAGATAATTGCTATTCATGAAGCAAGTCGAGAATGTGTGTGGTTGAGGTCTATAATACATCTTATTCGAGACAAATGTGGTTTGAAATGTGACAAACTA